GGCGGGACTGCGCTGCCGCGCGAGGTACGCGGCCGTCGCGCCCGGGCTCGGCCGGGAGCGCGGCCAGCAGCGCCCCGTTTCGGGCGCACGGATCACCCCGCAACGCTAAAGAGAACTTCCGAAGAAAGTAGTTGCAGCAACTACTCCTACCGTATAACAGGAGGACGAAAAAAACGGAGGTTAAGTTAGACCGTGTTGTCAAGTGACATCAACGCGGTCTCTAGGACCCCTACAAAAAAGCCCCATCTCATCCCATGTCATTCGAGGGGGAAAAATTCAGGAGGAAACCAGCGAAAACAAAGTGACCCAGAAGAGCCTGAGTTCAAGCAGGTAACAACAAACTGATGATACTTGCTGGCCTACTGGAATGTCGTCTTGCTTTGATTTTTGACATAATCCTTTCTTCCATCTTTCTATTGGGCAGCCTCTGCCATAATACCATTAAAAGAGTAGAAATGACAGGCCAGTAAAGGGGTGGCAGGGACGTGAGCAACGTAACGACAAGCTCTTATTGCAGTTATTAGTTTTTTTCCCTTCTCCTTTCTTACTATTTTTCTAAACTCTGCCAGGCAGGGACTGTTTCATTCTATAAATGGAATAACATCTGAATGCAGGTTTTAATTACATACTAATTGGTTTTGTTTGTTTTTTAATAAAAGGATCCTTCCAGCTAGCTTGCAGATAAGAGATGATTTTCCCTGTCTTGGTAACAATTAGCAGTTTTAGTCCAAGATGACCCTTTCCCCATTTTAGCTGATGTCTAAATTCTCCTTTTCCTATTTGTCTTTTGAATAAGAGAATGATAGGTGGGGCTCAGCACACTGACTCCAGAATACCCTGTGCCTGAGTTACTGTCCCTGCAAGCAACTACTGCAAGCACCATAGCGGCATCTCCCAAAGTCAGTGTTTTCCCATCAGCCTTTCCAGTGATGACTGTTGTTCAGATAAGGCCGGAGCGGTTCCCTTTGCCTACTTCAAGAAATGCTGGTTTGAGGTGAAGGGGGAACTCGCATAAAAAATAAACAGCTTACAATTTCTGTCATAAAGTTACATGAATAAACAGCATGCGTTTTTAAAGAATGCTTCCCTGAGATACAAGTCACAACCCCCCATCCTACAAATGAATTTATGTTTATTGAAATTAAAAGACAAAGTCACAGTGGGTTAAAAAAAAAAAAAACCCACACACAAGGTGGTTAGGAGAGGAAATGAAGACATCCTGTGAATAGAAACAAGTAACAAACAAAGTTCCTTTCCTATGGACTTACCTCTCTTGTCTGTAACCACGCTTCCTGCCTTTCCCCAGCCAGTAAGAGCTGCAGGACTCCACTCCCCCTACCGCTACCTTGTTTTCATGGACAAACTGCCAAGATCATGCCGACTGCCCTTACGCTTTATTACCAATGAGTTCTAACAGTGTCTCCTCTTGAGGAGGTGCTTAGTTTCAGCTCTCATCTCCGACCACTTAATGATTGCCACAAGTTCATAGGAATGTAAGTTATCTTTGGAACTACAGCCATACTATCAAGGTTTGTTAAAATTGTCCGCCATGTTAAAACTGGAAAATAGTGAGCTGGACAGGCAGCAAGATCTGATAAACCTATTTTAGCTGTGCTTCCTAATGCATGGGAAAAAATGGGAGTGTTAGATTATATACAACATAAGCTAAACATAGAAGAAAATGAATAAAAGGAGAAACGTTTAGTCTGACTTAAGGTCATTATGGAGTTGAGTTACTCTTGAAGCAAGAACCTTGAAGTGTGCAATTTTAACAGTGAAAGAAACTTGAAACTGGATCAGCTGAATCAGCACAGTTCTAACACTGATCTACAAAGCCCAAGTATCAACATGTCTTAAAAAAACAAAACAAAATAAAAAAGAAACCCTAAAGTTCAAGCTAAAAGTTGCTTCAGGAAGTTCTCTGTCTCATGCTCCAAGAGACTTAAAATGCTTAGGGTGTTTAGTATTTGGAATAGGGGCATGAACCAGAGAAATTCATCCACAGATATTTTTGCAATGAGACAGGATGACGTGCCATCAGGAATTAAGTATTCTAGGGCCTGGAGAATCCCTCATGTTCCAAGGTAGATCAACTGAATTCAAAGAGAACTCCTAAGAGAAATGCTTAGTTTATGTAAAAATAAGCTATTTTTATTTTCTTCTTTCCCAGATTCTGGAGAGTTCTCAGACATTGCTAAGTGTCCTGAAGGGAGAAATGGGGAATACTAGTAAAGCCACTGAGCCGAAAAGCACTGCAAAAGAAAAACAAGCAGATGGACAAAAGCATTCCTAAATTTGCTCTTCAACCTGGAAAGACCTGTTAGTCTGGGACAGCTGCTGTTCTGGTACAAGGATGCCACATTTAATAAAAGTTTTTGTCTTGCAGAAGTACATTTTCCTTTCAGATGCACTTTGGCATTAGAGATCTGCTAAACTTAATCCTCTAGACTAAGATGCTAGAGATCAGGGTAGGCATCCTACAGAAATACCCTTTATTTGGAGTACAGTGAGACTGAAGCGTAGCCAAGCAGGTGACTTATCAGCTAATGCTTTTGCCTCCAAGGCGGCATTCGGCTTGCTTTGCCAAGAACAAGCTAAGAGTTCATCTGGTACAGACAGGGATTAGAATTAGAATACAAGGCTAGGAAGTGCAAAGGCAGCACCCAGTGAGGTGTAAATCATGGCTGCAAAGTAAAGCAGGCATACTGGAAGAAGGAGGAGAAAAAGTCAGGAGTACACCAAAGACCATATGCTCCGCTTGAGAAACACACGCTGCGCTCTCAAGTATCTACTGAGCCAGTCCTAACCGGAGGAGTTGTAGGCACAGAGCTATTTCTCCGAGCAAACAGCACTCGGAGTATGAGAGCAGCATTTCAGTTGGCTGAGGTCAGTGGAACAACCTGCAGGGTATTGTTCACTTCCACATTCATCATTAATCTATAGCTGAACAAAGTCAGTCACCAGTTCAAACAACTCATCCCTAACTTCATTTACTTGCCCAGCAGCTTTTGCTTCGTCACCCACTGTTTTGTTAAGTTGCAACTCTAGAGATGGGGCTCTAGAGTTTTTATTACAGAGGCTTGACCTTCTCTACGATACAAGATGCTTGCTGGGACCTTTTCTGCCGGAAAGGCTGCGCACAACCTTTACACTTCAAAGATAGTCCCCGATATCCTTTGGCTCTGTGCACAGCTACTGGCTGTGGGCAATGCTCAGTCTTGAACGCCACTTATTACATAACTTACTCTTCCCTTAAAGCTGAAAAGTCACTCGCGGTCCTGCATTTTTCCTTGTTCTCCAGGTTCCGCATCTTGCTCCTGAAGTATTTCATTACTAGGAGAAGATTTAGCACATGGGATTCACTGCTATGCTCTTTATACTGCACTTCTGTAACTTCACAGACAGACTGCCAGCCTCATGCTCCTCCTGGAAGGTCATGCTAATTAAAGGTGGAGGAGGTAAAAAATATGTTCCCCAACCCCACCAAAATCTATGAAACTGCTGAGTAGCTCAATTTTTTGGATTATCTTTTCAGACACCTAGGGCAGGTGAAAGGGAGAAGAGCTAAAAGTAGACATGTCCTAACATTTCGCCATGACCATATTTTTCAGCAGAAAGAATTTCCTCCTGCTGCTACAACATATACCAAAACAAGCACAAGGTAAGCAGAGCGTTTTCAATTCATAGATCAGTGTCAGCTTGACTAGACATTCTTTGTCTATAACAGACAAACCAATAAAAGTATCAAATTTAATCAAAGAAGCCAGCCTGGTCCTTTGGATAGAGCCACACAGTGGGGTACCACTAACGTCATAAAGCCCAAAGAGGCCACATCTATTCCAACCGCATCTCTTTTAATCCCAGAAATACAAATCACATTAGCAGCAGCATTCAGTCTTTTCCAGAGTGCAATTTTGACCCTGAGTTTACAGTAGTAGAACACTTAAGTGGAAGAGTCTAGCAGATTCCTTTGTATATTGGCTGCATTAAACAATTGCAATAGAACTATAAAAAAAAAATCTAGAAAACAGCATATTTCTTGTTCAAGTTCTGCAGAAGAAAGGAGTGAAATGGCCCTCCTGTGTTTTCCACTAGAGGAGCAAAAAGAGCTTGGCAAGAAACAAGTCTCCCCAGCAGCCAGGACAGATATATCTTGGGCCTGGCCCTATTAGATGCTACAACAAAGCAACAAGAGGAACTAGGCAAACTGAAGCACAAAGGGCAGTTATTAGAGACCGGATGCCAGAGTTGGGCATGGACAGATCAAAGCTATGGCCGATGTTAGGGAATCTTCAAGAGGCTCAAGCTAGACTGGACACTTCTTTACAGATTAGTGCAAAAAATGATACCTAAAGGCATTTATTCCCCTTCCCATAGAGTGCATTCAACTCCCTTCACACGAACTTAACTGGCACATAAATTCCATGGTAGTTCAGTGAAATTAGATCCAGAAAAACGCTGAGAGTAAACCAACCCTCAATAGTTTTAAAAGTTGACAACCACTGTAATCTAGCTGTCAAATCACAACCGCTTAACGTGAATCCAACTAACTGCCCAGACACTCCCAGTGCTCAAGCTCCAGAACCGTTCTCCCCTGGGGCCTCTAATGAGAGGAGTGTTTCAAAACCTTCCCAGAGCCCATACAGTGCCTGCTTGAGTGGACTCAGCTAGGCACTGAGAGAATTTACATCCATCCTGGAATTACAGATCTGTTCTTCAGATGCTTGTCTAATCAGCAGCTGATCTTGAACAAGGAATACGCAAGGCCACAGGCAGAATAAATCATATGCCTTAAAAGTAGTAGTTACGTCCCAGAATCCAGTGCAAATATTCTCCCAAGATGTCCAATGGCATCTAGCCACCCTTGGCATCAGGATCCTATGTAACTTGTGACGAAGAAAGGACCCAGAAGCTTATTTCCGTGGTGCTTACGCAGGCATTCGGAAGGTGCACTGCCAAGTTTTGTCCAGCAGCAGCTGCTGCAGGCTAGAAGATGAAGCAATCAAAAATACAGCGCAGGCTCACTGCTGAAGTCAGAGAGTCCTCCCTTCTCTGCTGGGGTGAGCTGTGGAGAAAGCAGAGTTGAAACAGAGGTGTCATCAGATCTAAAGCAAATGAGGAGCATGCAAACCTGTGGATGGTGAAGACTGAACTGGCACCTTGTCCAGGGCTAATGACTGCATTTAGTTCCCGCTTCAAGCGTGCTGTAGAGTACAAAGCACACCGGTTTCCTTAAGTTTCCCCTACACAAACAGGGAGAGGCAGGGCTGTTAGTGGCAGTGGGAGCTTCTTGTTGATCCCTTGGTGTTCAGTGCCAAGGGAGGTGCACCACTGCTCACAAACACAGGAGTTCAGTGGCAGGCACGTCCCATTTCATCCACTGGCCAGACTTACCCAAAAGCCAAATAAGAGCACAACAGGACAAAGCGAAGAACTGCTTTAAAGCCTCACCATGACTTGGTTCCCAAGGGAATCAGCTTCTTTTCGGACGGGTCCCTCCGAGTTGGGCATCTCCTCATACTTCTGCTCCTGCCACTCACTGAACTTCACGGAGTGCTTTGGGGTGTAGCTGGACAAATCTGCTGGAAGGACACAGCTGACATGAGTATTCCCCGCCTCCCCAAAAGAGGGCAGGGTCAAGGTCCTGGCAGGGATGGGATGGAGGATGCTTATCTGTAGGGGCAGGGACAAGCCTTGCTCTCTCTAGGAGCTGTCAGTTCCCCTGACGAAGGTTGTGGGCAAACACACACTGGGGCTGTCACAGCAGCACCTACCCTCTTGGTTAGTCAGCCAAGCACATAGTGCAAAGTGTATTTTTAAGTTTTGGACTTGTAACATCTCAGGCCAAAGAGGCCTGAGATTCCCCTGTTCCAGTTCAAGCCCTGTTCCCAGTAAGGCCCAGTTCTGCTGTCAGATGATAGGAGATCATCTCCATCAGTATTTCAGCTGTGTGGAGCCCCACAAGGGAAATTTAGACAGTGCCATACACCACCAATAACCCCACAGCGCCAACACCAGTGCCTGGCTCACCTGAGTTAGGTGTACTGGGATTCAAAGTGCTATTTGGGCATGGAATGAAAAAGGTGCAAGTCTTATCTTCCTCTGTTTCAGAAGCATGTCCTTCCTCCTCCTCTTCCTCTTCTTCTGCTAGTGAGCTCTCTGAGGGGTATTCAAACATGGTCTGCAAACTTGTCTCATTGAAAGAGATCTTCATCTAGATAATAGCAAAGGAGAATTATTAGAAAGTAGCACTAGGAACCACTGATCCCAACACTGACTCTGATATGAATGCTCCTGGCAAAGACCACCTCCCGTCCCAGGGCTGCATCCTGGCGTAAGGATGCTGTTGAGCACTCCCCACACCTTCCCCCTGTGTGCCTTGCGGATTCTCCTACCTCACTGAGGGAAATCACGGAAGCAGATAGCCAAACAGATGGGATGGAGTCAGGAGGCTCAGAGGTCTAGAGTACCTCTGGGCTTTTTTGCCCCTTGCACACACTTTGTCACCATTCCACCACTGGGATGCCCAGCAGCCAGGAGGAGCTGCCTGCACATCCCCCAACTGTAATCAGCGTTGCCAAAGAGTAAAGGGCATCATCCCCAAGCTGGAAAGCTGACGCCTCTAACGCTTGCCAACTCATTTGAGTACCCATGCTCTAGGCAATAGAAATATACTCAACCGCAGCCATCAGGACTACATTTTTAGGAGGATACCATGACAAAAAGCTAGTTAAGCTAGATTAAAAACAGAGATTAATACCAGAAGTAAAAAGATGGAAGCTGCTAAAGGAGAAATGGTAACAGGTAGCATTAGAGATGGAAAATAAAACAAGAGGGAGGTCCTTAAGGTTCTGTTTTGAAGTCAGTTTTATTTAACCTTCTCACTAATGACCTTTGCAAAATAAGTAGGAGCCTGAGAAAATGAAGGTAACTCCAACATGGGACTCAGTCAAGGGAAGAAACAGAATATTTTATGGCTTGTTCAGAAAACTGGAGAGCAGAACGCTAGAAACGGGATGATGTCTAAAACCAAGAACTTGCTTTAAGAGCCTGGTAAAGATTTTAAGCAACAGTGAGAAGTTCACCTGTGAATAACTGAAAAAGAAAACTTCGGATTGGTTACAGTCCTGTAACCATCACCGGGATGGTGCTTAAATAAACCTGGAATAAAGCAAGGAATTTCCACTAGAAATAGGGAATTACTAATACGATAGTCCATCAGACATTTTAAAGACAGCTATTCTGATAGGTTTTATACTAATCCTTCCTTTTATCCTGCAATAAATCTGCTTCTTGCATACATGATGCATGGATTTGCAGCCACGATTGACTCACCTCCTGCGTGTAAACACCCCCTTCCTCCTCCCCCTTGTGCTGTGCGCTGCAGTCCACAGAATCACCAAGCACTTCAGGTTGAGGTCTCTGGTCCAAACTCCTGCTCAGAGCTATGTCAGGTTGTCTAACAAAGTTCTGAATATCTCCAAAGATGTAGATCCCCCTCCCTCTCCGGGTCCTTGTTCCAGCATTTGACCATTCTTATTGTCAATGATTTTTTTCCCTTTACATCTGATCAGAATCTCCCTTGTTGCAACTTGTCGTGCCCTTTACCTCTTGTCCTTTCTCCATGCACCTCCAGGAAAAGCCTGGCTCCTGCTTCTCTCACACTCAGTAGGTAGTTAAGACAGCAATTAGATAAACGCACACGCACTTCTCCGGGCTGAACAAACGAGCTCCCTCAGCCTCTCCTCATATGCCATTTGCTCTAGCCCCATACCATTTTGGCAGCCTCAACTGAACTTGCTCCAGTTTGTCAGTGTCTTTGCTGTACCAGGAAGCCCAAACCCAGACACAGTGCTCCAGATGTGTTCTTATAAGTGCCAAGCAAAAGCAGAGGGAAAGGATTGTTCCCCTGCTGGGTACAGCCTTACATGTCTTAATTATGTACAGTCCTGCTTAGAAGATCCAGTTAAAATTCATCTTTCTTGAACAGGTGGACATGAGGTTTAGTTTGTTCACACTAGCGAAATAAAGGTTGAAAGAAAGTATAATAGCGCTTTACAAGCACACCAAGAAAATAAACACTAAGGAGCAGAGAAAAGCTGCTGATGCCAGCACACAACACAGACAAACAAGGAGGATAAGCTTGCCAAGAGTAAGTTTAAGCCAAAAAAAGGGAAGCATCTAGCCAGCAGCGGATGAAGCAGCCCTAAGCAGGCTATCAAGCAAACACGCACCAAGCGTTTCACTGCTTCTCTTCTGAACAGCAACAAGGGGAACTTGATTCAAGTCTGGGTGACAAAGCAAGGACCTAATGCCTCCTCCACACTGCAAATACGTATATTGGAGCTATGTGCTATTCTGTGCGAGTCCAGGATGTACTTCCGACCTAGGATGGCTCCCTTCCCCACGTTACCAGGGGAAGGAGGGCCGGAAGCAGCAGTGAGGGCAACCAGCTGCAGTTCCCATTCCTTGCCCTGGTCCTGGCCAGGGCAGCTCCACCTTCAGCCAGACTACACATGGAAGGGAGTGATTGTATTTTAGAGAAAAGGGCTTGAAAGAAAATGGCCCTGAAGATCAGAATATCCCAGTTGCTGTTTCCTGGGAATATCTCATCCCTGCTGCTGACCTAGATGCTCCCTGATCCGAGCCAGGCGCCAGAGCAGGCAGCGACTGTTCACAATATCATGTCTGTGCTCCACGTGCGACCGACGCTGCCAGGCACAAGGGCCTCGAGGGTGGAAGCGCCCCAGGACTCCTGGAAGCTCAGAAGCTATCCCAGAGCTCAGTCACAGCACACAGTCTGCTTACAAGCACCGGCAACGTACTCTGAAAGACAAGAAACGTCTAAGCTAACGTTGCTTCTGAACAACGGAAAATAAGGGGGGACAGGGCAGATGTGCCAGGTTTTCAAGAATTTAACCTCGGGAGATGGAACTACGTTTTCCCATTTTTCTGCTAACAGGAGGAGATCTCCAAGAAAAATGACTTTGAGTCTAAAGGACAAGAAAGAGAAGTGACAGAAGCACCAGTCACAGGTTAGGGAATGCATACTGGGAGGCTGCAACCGTACACATCAGAAGAGGGTACAATCCTACGGGGAGAAGCAGGTTAACACCTTGCTCCCTCATGCTCTCCCTGCAGCATTTTCATGAAAAATTAACAGAACTGCTAGTCCAGGCCAGACTCCTAATTTGGAGCAAAGCTGTGAGTAGTGCAAGAGGAGAAAACAGCCCCATCCAGGGAGTAAAGCCAAAGAGGGAGCAGAAAGCAACAGGAAACCAACAGGTTCAGGAGACCTCCCCTACACAGTGCTCAGAGGCAATGTGCCAACAGTACAGCCCAGCCCAGTCCTTGAATTAAAGTAGTTCCCAATTGCCCACAGCTAATTTGGCTTGGGTGACGCTTGCTTCTAGCTCACAGAAACTGAGCTCAGTGTCCTCCAGAACCGCTCTTCCAACAGGGTTTGTCAAATACCTGCTGCAGACAGGCTGCAGCCTTGTACACCACAACACTGAAGCTACAACAAAAGAAAAAAAATCATTAACTACAGTGGGGCCAGCCCCACGCAAACAGGGCCCCAGCCCGAAGGAGAGCTCGTAACACGTGATAGCTGCTGCCTTAGCACCACCTCCAGTACAGCCTCTGCAAAGGGCTAACTTACCAGGCAGTCCTGCTTGGCACAGCGTTACAACAGCGCAAGACTCCGGCATAAAAACCACACCAGCCTGCTCCGCAGTAGTGTCCCCGTTGCCCTGCACCCAAAGCTGCAGAGCCGAGAGAGCGTGAAGAACCAGGAAAGGCCTTAGAGCTGCTGGGTGGGAGAACCAGGCTGCAATAAAACACTTGAGGACGCACCCAGGGAGAGCAAACACGGGAGGAACAATCACTCGCTGGCACAGAGGCAGGCTCCCCGCTCTGTGCCTGAGGCTCCCTTCCCCACACCTGTGCCCTAGCCCTGGGGCACCCGTTTAAGCTTGCCCACGCAGAATCGGTGCCAAGTGAAACACAAACCCCGAAAACCAAAGCAACGAGCCTGCAGAGTGCTGCGGTATCACCACGCAAGCTTTCCTCCTCAAACACAAGGCCATTGCAGGGGAGGATGAGGAAGCACAAAGCAACTCTACTCGATCCAGGAGAAGATGGAGAGCAACTACTTGGACAAAACTTGAGGAAACATGGGTCAACGTAACTATCTCAAGAAAACCTCTGAGCAGCAGACGAGCAGCAGTGAGCACTGTCAGAGCAGTGTTTAGGGAGCACGGACAGGTTTGGTCCCAGGAAGCAGCTAAAAAATTGGAAGCCCAGTAACGGCACAGATAACAGGTCACAGTTTGCGCAGGCAGAAGACAGGCAGCCTCTTGCTCGACCATATAGACTTTCATGGCCGCACAAAAGGCGACAGGGGCCGTTTGCTTTAGAACAAAAACGTATTCCAAGGAGCCAAGCACACTCGAGCGCAGTCAGAAGCTGCTCATTGTATGCCTGCAGCTGCCAGTTGCTGAAAGGAGAAATTCTGCATCCTTCAGCTGTGGATGCTTGCAAGGATCTGTCACTATTTGCTACCTGAACGCTTTACCCAGAACTGTCACGTAACCAGAGCCCAACCCCAAAACATATACCCATATATTAATGCTCTGCCCAGCGATCAGAGCCACACTGGGAAGAGTAAGGCAGGCTTTTCAGGGAATGCTGTGCTGTTAAGCCCCTCAATTCTTGTTGCCATAGCAAAAATCCTTATTTATTTGCTATGATTTTAACAGCAATGAGTAACAGACCACCCAGAAAAGAGAAACTAGGGTAAACATTGCCCAGCAAGCCTAACTGAAACGTTATACGTGGCCCACTTAGAAATAAAATCAACCTTTCAGGGTTTCAGGAGACGCAAGGCTGTCAGGAAATTCATTCGAGTCTGCACCCAGACCAACATCTGAAGAGCTCCCATTTACAAAAACAGACTGGAAAAAAAAAAACCACAAAAAAACCTTGCTTCAGAAAGTCAAGGTGGGAAAGCTTGCAGAGTCCATAATTAATGAAATCAGGCATATGCCCGATTGCTTCTCACAAACCCTGAATATCACAGCATGTCTTATGAGCAAACCATGAGTTTAATTTGCATCCTCAGCTCCACAAGCATTTTCTTTATTGTGCCTTTTCTCTTATCCACCCACCCTGTATCACATTCACTGCTTGCTAGATGTGGCAAAAGCAAAGCGA